TGTTTTCAAAGGATTAAAATCTGTCTCTACAATCTCTTCCAGGCTAAAGGTTCTCATATATATATATATATATATATATATATATTAGATTAGATTATATATATATATATCTGCAAGAGAACAATATCTACAATTTACAAAAAAGGGGGGGAGGGGGAGTACCTTTGGGGCCATTTATCAATAAAATAAACAAGGTTTTAAACATTATGTATATGCATTTTTACACCTACGGTGGTGTGGTTTTTTTTTATTAATATTATTATTATTTCTTTTTCTTCTTCTTCTTCTCCCTCCTCCAGATTAGCAAAAACTAGCCATGTGATAAAGACCAAGAGAAAAATCAATCATTAAGCTGGGTATTGATAATTATAAAACACTGTTGTATGCCTTTACAGACAAGTAGATAGGCAGCAGCAAAAGCAGAGTACAAAACTACAGCAAATCATTTGCTAATCTACATGTCCTCTCTGCTATTTTTTTTTAATTTTCAAATACTCATTAGACACATATCCTGCTTCTAATCCCAATCAATGCTCCACCCTTGTGATACATTCCGTAGGCATAGAGAAGCACCTAATTGACACGGCACAACAAAACTGTAGTACTTAAATTCTGCCACAAGATAGCAATACTCTACAACTACTGTGCATTATTAAACCACTGGCATGAGCTTTATTGTGATTTAAATGCTGCTTTTAGTCCAGCATGGTACACAACAGCAATACAAATACAATTTATCAGAAGTACCTAGCGATGCTGATTTTAACTCTCCAATACATTAATTCATTTAGATTGAACATATAAGGGTCTAAAAAGTAGAAATGTATTATATTCTAGTTCCATTTTAGTGCTTCCACAAGAACAGTAACTACAAAGACAATAGAAAACTTGTGAAACTTGGACTTTTGTTTATCATTTATAATTTCAACACATCTTAAACGAAGAAAACAGTGTAGAAAATTAAAAAGTCATACAATTTTCAGGTGGGACAAAAGCCTCATGACATCAGCCATATCAGCCAGGATGAGTAAGCGAGTAACAGCCGACAGCAAGGCCCGAGCAGCCCGCACCATGGTGCCTCGTTTCACGGAGGAACATGGATCATCAGCAAACTCTGAAGAGGCAATTCTCATTGTTTCACCTACAATACAATAAAACAATTTTGATTACACAAAAGTTTTACATTTACACCACCCAGAAAAACAAACAATTCCCTGAACTACTTAACTGTTGCTAGCCAGGAAGGAATTTAGTTTTTGGTTTGGGTTTTGCAGTAGTGGGTTGCTGAAGAGAGGGGTTCTGTGCAAAGTGTTTTAGAATCTCAAAATGACCTGGGATGATCAGGTCAATTACAACAAGCTGCACAGGAAGTAGCTATGCATTTGGCAGACTACGCAGCAACCTTCTCTACGCAGACTACACTCCCTACGGTTTTTCTCCCATTGTACTAATCTCTTCTGTTTCTATTGCAGCCCCCTGCTGCAGAATTAGAAGAATAAGATACCAAGACAAACTGTTGAATAGCCACCTGCAGAGATATTCACCGTAAGGTTAGAGAAGCTGCTACTGGAGAGCTGTAGGAAACATAAAACTCACCTCCTTTTATGCGGATGGACAGAGTCAGAGACTCATTAGGTTGATTACAACTGAAATATGCAGAATTCCCTCCCATAAACAGATTTTCTAATCTACTCCCATTGTAGCTGTCTTTCCTCTATGAAGGGCTCCTATTCTACTATTATAGAAGTAACCACCTTCTATGCAGACTCACCAATCCACTTTCTCTCTGCTCCCAACTTTCCCTCCCATTTCTACATTACTTCTTGACCAGCTCCCACTCCAATTATCCTCCCAAGTTTCTACCCCTCATTTGCTCCTGGTGCCCTGTTCATATGGCCAGAGATCCTGATCTGATCTTCCCCCCTATAGCTATCAATCCTGTTTATAGATTTCTCATGTCATTACAATTACCTGTACAGATGCCCCCGGGTTACGCAAAATCCCTGTAATGAACCCACTTCTCCAGTCCTCCCTCTGCATATTCCCCATCTTAATCTACACTTGTTTCACTTAAGACACTTCTCCCAATGGACTTGACAGAACTCTCTTTCTTTAAGCTACTTGTTAGAGACTTAAAACACGGAGGACAAAGTCCTCCGCTTACAGCACATGGATTTATAGGATTATTATTTGTTAAACTTCATTCAATATGCTAAAATAATGCTTTTGATCATTGTTTTTATTTTTAGTGTCTAGATAATGTAATAACATTCCTTATTACTATTAATTATATTATTATTATTAAAGTGCCAAAAGTGTTCTAGGTGCTTAACAGACTACTGAAACCAGATCTGAAGAAGACCTCTGTGGAGCTCAAAAGCCTGTCTCTTTCACCAACTGATGTTGGTCCAACAAAATACGTTACCTCACCTGCCTTGTCTCTCTACTAAGACTCAATCTTTTAGAACAGAGGATGAGAGTGTATAGGTAAGACTCTGTGTTTGTCACGGAGGTCATGGAAGTCATGGATTCTGTGACTTTTCGTGATCTCCGTGACTTCTGCAGCGGCCCTTGCGGCTGGCCCAGGAGCCAACTGAGCATCTTGGGCAGCCCCTGGGCTCATTGCTGTCAACTGAAAAACAATGAGAAAAACCAGAACATACCATCTTCCCAATTCCGGCAGTGAGAGCAAAAGTACATTCTGAAAGTAAATGCAATTATAAAGAAAATGGCATTGGTGAGATTACTGATCTGTGGCCCTCTCTAAGAACAAAAATAACAGTTGACAATGTTTAAGGATCTCAAAGTATTCAAAAGTAATTGAGTCCATTTATGAAACATTGTTAAGGCCCCATCTATACCTCAAACTGGAACCATATTGTAACTGCACTGGGTGAAAATAGCAACAGAGGGTCCTGTGGCACCTTTGAGACTAACGGAAGTATAGGGAGCATAAGCTTTTGTGGGTAAGAACCTCACTTCTTCAGATGTAAGTGAAAATAATCATCCTCTAACCCAGCAAGAGATGAAGTCAAGTTCCTATTCCAGTTGCCTTTTCAAATTCACTATTACCCAGCTGAATCCCAAATGTCCTGCTGTATCTACTTGTGACTTGGTTTTCCATAATCTATAACTTGTACAGCTTTTTTTTTCTTTAACTACTGTAGTAAAAAGGGAATTAACAGTATTTAAGATCACATTTTATATTAACATGCATCCACTATTGCTAAAAGATTTTCAGTTTGTTCCAAATTTATCTCCAGTGTAGAGACTCAGGGGAGAATGTTCCTAATGTGGAGTCAAACCTTACTTCCATTGTCTTTACGACCATTAAAATAGCATTCAAAGAAATCTCTGAAGACAAAACTCCCCAGCAGACAATACAAACAATGTGTAGGGGAGGCTTTCATATTCTCATTGAAGAATTCCCACTGGGACTTCCTTCCTTTACTATACCACTGTTAGGCCTAATTATTGTTAGTGTAATTTGTGTACAAAGCATCTAGGGTGTTAAGTAAGGAACGTACAGTCTAAGTGCATACATAAAGATTCCAATGGTTTATTTCTCTTACTGTCTCTATTTTGCAGCAAGACTATCCAAGACACAATTTGTTAGATTTCCAAAAAATTGCCAAAACTCATAACAGAGACTCATAAAAATTCTTTGTAAGAGTAAAAGAGAGACAATAAAACTAACTCTTAGGAGGCAAAATGACAATTAATAGCTTATACTACTGTCATAAC